GAGAACTAATAAGTCCTTAACAGGTGGGTAATCTATACACCATGGATACACTAGGTGCCACCACCACATGAAGGAATGACTGTTTGCTACATCGTTCTGTATAGTTTTACAAATAAACTTACATTCACTGAAAGTCAGTGTCATGGTGACATGAGGTAATGATATTGTCATGAAAGAGAAACCTCATTTCTGCCCTCTTGGCTTCGCTAGCTGAAAGCCTGTAAAAGTGACAAAAGACAAGTAAACAGGAGAAAAAGGTCACGGTTGTTCTTACTATTTCTCATGCAATAGGACCTTAGTTGGTATTTATATAGCAGGAATCATGGAACATTAGAGGAATTAGAGGAACTCGAGGATTCAGACTCCAGCTTGTGCCTCATTTTGACAAAGGGAAGTGGGGTTGATCTTGTTGGTAGGTATGCTAAGCCATGAGAAAGTGACTGAAGTCCGAGGGCAGGAGGCAGTCCAAGGGTTGTTGTGGAACAGTCTGTGCAGACTGAGCACTGGCTGCTCCGTGTCCACCTGCCATCAGAGCTGCTCTTCTCTTCTTGCTATGGGTAACAGAGACACCTTCACAACAGCTGCTGTGCTCCTAGGCAGAAGCTGTGGAGGGAAGATCATTGCCTGCTTCTGTGATGTTCAATTGCCTTCTTGTCAGAGCAATCCTTGGGCATGTTGGCATGTCCCGGGGAGGTCTGTCTCCATACCTCTCAATGTGAATGCCAAAGACTCAAGAGGGAAGTGCACTGATGTGTGCAAATGACTCTGAAACGGATTTAAAAACTAAGGTGATTTAATAAACAGATGGAGATCTGATGAATAATACATGACTTTAAAAACTGCTATGAAATGTTAATGGCAGTATCTAGGTAATGGCTATATGGATATATGACGTAAAAGTATTTCATGTTTGCTGAGTATTTGCAAATTATTGTGATAAAGGGCTTGGAAACATGCTATGCTTTTGGCAAAACTTATCGCCCACCAAATGGACACTTTCTCCTTCCATGTCATATATATGCGTGTGTCTGTGTGTGTGTGTATATATATATATATATGTGTGTGTGTGTGTGTGTGTGTGTGTGTATGTTAAACCGAGACCCTATATCCATGTGAAAATATGTTATGTTTTTCTTTCTTCTCTTCACTTTTCACTTTATATTATTTTGTTTCCATGACCCTTTAGGGCCCTATCCCAACCACAGAGTCCCCTTTTAATTTCATTACACACACACACACACACACACACACACACACACACACACACACACACTTCGGTGCTTAAGAGGAAACAGGGGTATTTGTCTTTCTGAATCTGGCTTATTTTTCTTAACATGATGAGCTCAGATTCCATATGCTACCCTTAATATGACAAATGTCATTCTCCTTTATGGCTGCCTAGACTCCATTGGGAATATCTCTTCCATTCTTATTCTGATGGACATCTAGGAGGGTTCCATAGCTTAGTAACTATGAGCACAGCAGTGATTAAAATGGGTCTGCAATTGTCCGTGGGGGTCTTCTGATATATTTTTAGACACATACCCAGGAGATGTATATATAGGTACAAGGTAGTGACAGTTTTTTTTAAGTTTTTTTTTCAGTTTAAATTTAGATTAGAAACAAGGTTGCTTCACAAGTCAGTTCCAGGTCCCTCTCCCTTTCCCTCCCCCTCCTCCCGTGCCCTCCACCCAACTTCCCCATTATCCCCTCATTTCCCCAGGGAGGGTGAGGCCCTCCATGGGGGTATCCATAGTCTGTCATTTCGTCCAGGGCAGGGGTAGTGACAGTTTTTATCTTTTCGGTTTTTCAAGTTTGCTTTTGGTTTTTGGTTTTGTTTTGTTTTGTTTGGGTTATTGTTGTATTGTTGTTGTTTTGTTTTGTGACAGGGTTTCTCTGGGTAGCTTTGTAAACTAGGCTGGCCTTGAACTCACAGAGATCCACCTTCCTCTGCCTTCACAGGGCAGGGATTAAAGGCCTGCACCACCACTACTTGGCTTTCCAACTTTCAGTTTTTTTTATTTGGCTGTTTGTGTTTTTTTTTTTTTTTGTTTTTGTTTTTTGGCTTGGTTGGTTTTTTGAAGAACACTGCTTTCCATACTGGCTGCACAAATTACATACCCACCACAATGCATGACTGTTCATCTTTTCCCACAGAGCCACTAGCATTTGCTGTCTTGAAGATTCTTTTCTTATATGTATTTATTCTATTTTATGTGTATGTATGTATGTATGTATGTATGTGTACCACATATATGCTAGGAGCCTGTAGAGGCCAATAAAGGACTTTGGATCCACTGTAACTGGAGTCAGTGGTGGGACCTGAACCTGGGTCTCCTAAGAATACCTGAGAATGGGTATTCTTAACTGCTGAGCTATCTCTCCAGTCCCTTCATATGGTTTCTTGATGACAGCCAGTCTGACTAGGGTAAGATGGAAAGTTAATGTGACATATAGTGTTTTGGTTTTTTTCCCAAATGGCTAAGGGTATTGAACATTTTTTCTTATGTTTATTTGGCCATCTTACTTTTTTCTTCTGCTAATTTTCTATTCAATTCATTTACATATTTATTAATTGGATGAATTGAGTTTCTGGTGTTCAAATTTTGAAGTTCTTTATAGATTTTAGGCATTCATCTTCCTGGAGGATACAGTTGCCCATTGGTATTTCTCAGTCTGTTGGCAGTCTCTTTGCTCTGCTGATACTTCTGTGCAGAAAATTCTTGGCTTCATGTAGTCCTACCTGTCCATTCTTACTGTCATTGCCTGTGCTGGAGTATTCTATGCAGACATTGCTGTCTATATTCATACATTAGGCCATTATCTCTGTTGGTCTCCAACTGCAGTTTTGGGGCAGGTCTTACCAAGTTCAAACACTGAGTGACAGGAAATGCTTGATGAGGTCCAACAGCAGTGACATGTGCATGACAGTAACACAGATGTCCTCAAAGAAAGAACTGTAGTGTTACTATTAGAATCTAGGAAGCCCCCCTCCCATTCAAGGATGCAAAATTTGTTTGTATATTCATCTATTTACTTGGGCATACATTTACCAGGCAGCAGAATGAACGATTAACATTGGCATCAATAATAAAGACACATTAAATGTTAAATGCAGACTAATGAAGAAAATGGCAAAGAAGGAAAGCATCTACCTCCCCCACCCTGGAAGACCAAAGGTCCTATCATTAACAGAGATTTACCCAGTGCCCCAGATAGTTTAATGCCAATTTGACACAAGCTAGTCATCTGAAAGGAGTGAACCTCAATTGAGAAAATACCTCCATAAGATCACACTGAAGGCAAGTCTGCAGGGCATTTTCTTAATAGTGACTGATGGGGGAGGGCCCCGTTCATTATGGGTGGTGTCATCCCTGGGTTGGTGGTCCTGGGTTCTATAAGAAAGCAGTCTGAGCAAGCCAGAGGAGCAGGCCAGTAAGCAGTACTCCTCATGTCAACTCCTGCCTCCAGATTCCTGCCCTGCTTGAGTTCCTGTCCTGGCTTCCTTGGATGATGAGCAACAATATGGAAGCATAACCCAAATAAACCCTCTTCCCAGACTGCTTTCAGCCACGGTGTTTCATCACAGCAACAATAACCCTAACAAAGACACCTGGCAGTACTTAACCAGAGTTTCTTGTTTGTGAAGTTCCATGTTTACTCAGCCCTAAGGAATACTCTGCTCCTTCAAAGGAGGGTCACCTCACCTGGTGACCAAATGAGAATCTATCTCATCGGGTGCCCAAGTCTCTGGTTAGACTCTAGGATGTTATGTCTTGGACTGTGTTTCTCCACTTTACCATGGAAACTTCCTAGTGTGTTCATCCCTCTGCTTGACCTTGACCCTATTTGTGCACACACAGTGCAAATACTTCTGTTTCTTCCTTTTAGGAAAAATTTCATAGCTCATGATTCAGCCAGAAGCTACCAGGTCTCCATCGTGCTGTGGTTTCTATAGGGATTGTTTTACACACCAGAACACCAGTGTCACAAAAGTGTGCATTTTCATTAATATGGCTACTTTTTGCCATACTAATAGAGACATCCCTCACTAGCATAGAACTGATGGCTGCCCAGGTGAGACCCACTGTGTTGCTCTGTGCCTTCGGGTGGGAGGGGGGCACAATGGCAACAAATAAGGCAAAATGTGGGAATGGTGTACACAGGAATAAAACAGGGAATCAAGGATAGCAACATGCTGATGCCAGGACCTGCACAATGGCTTGAACTAGCTTCACAAAGCAGGAGAGCAAACTATAATGCACTGGGAGTCAGGAACTTACAGATCTGAAGACTGAGAGTCTAAGATTAGAGTGTCCACAGGTATACTGTCGTCTTCTCGCTGCATCCTTCAGTGATGCTTGTCCTCGGCAGGTATACTGTCTTCTCCCTGCATCCTTCAGTGATGCTTGTCCTCAGCAGGTATACCGTCTTCTCGCTGCATCCTTCAGTGATGCTTGTCCTCGGCAGGTATATCGTCTTCTCCTTGCACGTTCTGCCATGTTTGCCCCTGTTTTAGCTGCTTCTTCTTAAAAGGACACCAGTCACATTGGATTGGAGCACAGAGCAGTAACTTCATTTAATGTTATCTCTTTAACTGGTTACACAGGCAGCTAAGTGATCATCCTACTTGCCTAAGCATCTTCCTGTATGTGGATGGTGAAAAAGAAACCACCTACCATTGTAGCTGGAGGTCATAGTGCCTTAATTTATACTGGAAGCTCAACAGTAACACTCAACTCACTTTCCAGCTTCCAGCATCAGAAGAATGGGAAGATATCCGCAAAAAGGAACCACTGGAGGGGGGCTGGACAAACACATGATGGAAATCTATCCACAGTGACCACTAAGGTGTATCCAGGTGGTTGAATCCGGGAGGAAGCAGAATAGACTGGGACAACTTCAGCTCTCTCCCATCTCAACATGTAAACGAACCCAGAGCAATCCCAAGGAATCAGGTGCAACAGCTTTTAGCAAAAATCATTTGGACACAGTTAGGATCCAATTAGTATCTAGAGCAATTTACAAGAAGAAAATTGGCACTTATGAATTAGTACATTGCAGCATCCCATGCTGCTATTTTAAGACCATGGAAAATTTAAATTGCTGTGAAGAGAGAAGAGACGGGGTAGGGGGAGCAGGAAGAGTCATCTAAACAATCTCAGCAGACTGCCCATGTGACCACCGATTTCCAACATCTGCACACAGTAGACAGAAAAAGAGCTGCCTCAATCTGTTCTCAATTCTGCAATAAAGAGAGGGGAAAATGGAATTTTAGTTGTTATTCTTGTTTTCCATGTAAATCATCCCATGAACTAATTACACTGGACATATCCCAGATCTGCAGTCTGAGAAATATATGGAAGACACAGGGAGTCAGAGCTTGAATGTTACTCTCATCCTCAGCTTGAAGTGACCTTGAGAAAGCCAAGCTTTCCACTGTGTCTGGCTATGCTATTAATTGAAGATGACAGTTTAATCTATCTCTCAGGAGAGCCAAGAGGAAAGAAGCAGTCAAAATATCCTGATGCTATTGCCTATGACATCTACAACGTCGAAGGCAATAAGAGTCATGTGTTATTGGGATATTCACTACTTTTTTAATAAGGGAGATTGGTAAACAATGAAATATAGCATTCTATTGTCAAGGACTTTGGAGAGTTGTAGCATTTACTTGGTACCAACATTGCCATCTGGTTTGGTTTAGATGAAATACATAGAAAGCACATGCTTGACACTGGGGTCTACAAGGTGTCAGACAGGATCTCTGGTCCTATCAGACTACAGATGTCACACTCAAACTGTACCTTCAGCAGAATTTAATACAGTATCACATGGAGAGTTAATAAGCAATTGAGCAAGATGCATGCTTTCATTTCTGTCTATTCCAAACTATGGGTGTAATGTAACCAGTTGTTTAAGTTCCTGTTGCCTTGGTGTCCCTGCTAGGGGCTAACGGAAATCAGTGGATATTAAAGAGATGAGAAAGTGCTCAAGGATTTCATCCTTCTACGGTCACCTCAGGTTGGACCACGACCCCTCCTGGATCACAGCCTCTCTCAGGTGGTCCCTGTAGTCGTTAGCATTAATTGTCAATTTGACACACCTATAGTCTCAAAGAGAGACTGCTTACGTTGGGTTGGCATGTGTGGGAAACACTGAGGAACAACTCGGTTCTTAAGGGAACTTCTGGCTTTGGAAAGAAAAGAGGATGGGTAGTTTTAAAAACATGCAGGACAAGTACCAAAGAAAATGTCCAGCATGGCAGGGACATCAAGGCAGCAGGAACTTAAAATAGCTGGTCACATTATACCCATAGTTTGCAACAGACAAAAATGAATGAATGGGTGCTTGCTCAGTTGCTTATGCTCAGCTCTCCTTCTCCAACACAATTCAGGAATCTATGTTTAGGCAATGGTGCCACCTACCCTGGGTTAGGTCTTCCCATATCAATTGACTTAATTAAGAAGACCCTCAACATACACACCCATCCAAGGCCAACCCAATGTAGGCTGCTTTGCTTCTCTGATCTTTCAGCTTGAATCCCAGTATCTGTCTCTGGGTTTTCATTATTCCTGTGACACGGCTCCACATTGGTTCTCTGCTAAAAGTCATGGCATAGTCTCGCTTAGGAACAAAGATTTGTAAAGGGATGCTTTAATAGTACTTTTTGGGGGGTTTTTGCCTTTAGGCAGTGGATGAGGGAATTTTCTGGGAGTTGTCTGGAGAAAAGCCTTCAATGACTCGTGGAGAGTTAAGATGTATCAAGTAGGCCATGAGCCAAGTAAAATGATCAAAAATGTCCATTTTAGAGTTCCAACATAGTATGTGGATTCTGTCATAAATTTATTACACATCCTCTTTTTTAAGGATTTTATGTTATCAGATTATACATTTCACCCCAGAAAACCAGCTCGTCCATCTCTATTACCCAATGACGAGGTTCCTGGGATCTATGCTCTGATAAGGTAAAGCTAGAAACCACAGGTATTTTGTAAGCAACCGAAGCCTGTGTCTTTTCCCTGAAAATTGGATTTCTGGCGAAATTTCTATAAGTTGTAGGTTGATGACCTAGAAGAGAAGAAAATCCCAAGCAATCATTAATTGTGCTAGAATTGTTTCTAATGTTTATTTATATACATATGCATTTGGGGGGACACACATGTGCAAGTCAGAGGAAAACTTGGGAGTCACTTTTCTTCTTTTACCATGTAGATTCCTGGGATAAATCTAAGGTTATCAAGTTTGACTAGAATTCTTGCTCCATTTCTAGCAAAGGCTTTAATAGGTTTCCTGGGTGAACGTTTTTCCCCCTCATTGTGTCCCCATGATTTACCCTGCACACTCCAACCCCTTCTTCATACATAAACAACAGCAAGGGGGCATGAAGAAATCAAATTGCATGGCACACCCAATGGGCTAAAGTATGTCCTTCGGAAGGTCAAGGTAATACTACAATATATTTCCTGTAAACATCTTATCTGACTGTCATTTATGAGGTTGGAGTTGGGCAATAACTCATTCCAAAAATAGGGTGAGTGTTGTGATGAGATGAGCAAAAGAGGTTGGCTTCATAGATAAAAACAAAATACAGTAGAAGCAGAAAGGTTGATTGTTTCAAATCACTTTATAGAGTTAAAAGTGAAGAGCGCTTCTGTATTGTGCTAATTCACTTTGGCATATCAGTCTCTGTCTTTGTCTCTCTCTCTGTGTCTCTCTCTGTGTCTCTCTCTCTCTGTCTGTTCTCTCTGTTTGTTCTCTCTCTCTCTCTCTCTCTCTCTCTCTCTCTCTCTCTCTCTCTCTCTCTCTTTCTCTCTCTCTCCTCAAAGAAAGCTGACTGGTTTCAGAGTTCAGCTTGATTTTGTGGGTTGTATGCTCTGTGGTACCCTCAGGCAGGAGATGCTTCCAGAACCAGAGCCACCCATAGCCAGTTCTCAGCAAAAAGCATCTGAGAGCCAAATGGGCAGCTAGCTGCTTCACACTAACTGTGAGAGATCTGAGTTGGGAGGCTGGACCCCCTTTCTAGAGCTCTTTTCCTTTGCAGAGTCATACTTTGCTATGGCCTAAAACTTTACTTCCAAAGAAGCAAGAGCCTAGACATCTTCCAGTGAGCGGCAAGCTGCATGTGACCCTTGCCAACAGACTGCCTTGATGCTAACCCTCTGGGTGGTGGAGCTCTGGTCTTCCGGAAGTTCATAGAGTGGGTTTTCATTTTCTTCAGTTAACATAGCAGCCCTCCAAACTCTTTCCTGTCCTGTGGCAGCTAATGTAAGCTCAGCACTTCTTCTCCTCCTCAACCAACTGAAAGCTAAGCCTTTCATTCCTGTGGAGGGTGGAATGGGAAATTACTCCTTTAAATTTCACCAGTAGACAGTGTCAAGAAATTGGTTTTTATTTCCAGAAGGGAATATACATTATTTAAAATTTACTTAGTATCAAATCATTCCAAAATGAGTAGACACATTCTTTTATATTTTAAAATTCATTGTGTTATTCTAAAAGTTTCCCATTACTTGTTTCTTTCTTTCTTCCTTCCTTCCTTCCTTCCTTTCTTTCTTTCTTTATTACTTTTCCTTTCTTCTTCGTTGGAAACTATACGTTTTTCTGAACTGCCAGACTTGGCCTTTGAGTTATACTAAATATATTTTAGGGACAGATTTTGCCTTCATATGAATTTAATTATTTTCTTTCTCACTCCCAGGGTCAATTCCTTGATAATCACTTTATTTCATAAACATGTATGAAAAAAATTGGGAAGTGAATTCACTTAGTTTTTTTTTCTCCTTAGTATTTGCCCTTTTTCTTATATTCTCACTATGACTTTCTTTTCCTCTGAAACTTAGTCTCTATTCAGTCCCATTCTACAATCATGTAGTCACAGTTACTTTGGTTTAAAGTCTATATTATGGCCACCTTTGGAGTCTTTGGGGAATTTGTTCAAGGACTTCCTAGCAAACCAAAGTCAGCAGATGCTCAAGTCCCTATGAGACAATGGCATAGAATTTGCATAAAATCAGCTGCATCCTCCCATATACTTGAAATCATCTCTAGATGACTTACAGCACCCAATACAATGTAAATGCCATGCAAATTGTTACAGTGTGTTATTTAAAGAATAGAGACAAAAGAAAGATCTGTGCATGTTCTGTAGAGATGCAATTTTTTTCCTCTTGTTATGAGTAGGATATTTTCTGTCAGCAATTACTGGACTCCTTAGGTAGAGGACCTAGAAATACAGAGAAAAAAATCACGCTTGCTCCATCTCGTAAAATGCTTTGGATACAGTGGTGTGACAGTGGTTGCCAATGGACTCTTCACCTATGTACAGACTACTTGCATAGCAGCCATCCTGTGGTGATCTCACACCGTGCTACCCGAGGAAGTGTGTATTTCCTGCACCTGACCTCTGTCTAGGAGGCCAGGTGGCCACCTAGGCAAACTAGGCCTAAGATACTTTCCTTGTCCTCGGACCCCACACAACTGTTACATTAAAGAGTTTGTGGTTCCTTAATGAATATCCATGCTTATGATCTTCCCACTACCAAAATTGAAAAACACTACCAAAATGGGTAAATGAGATGTAACGTTCTTTTTCTCTAAAGGGACACTGATAATTGCCCTCCTGAATAAATACAAAGAAAACATGTGTCAATGTGGGGGCCTTCACTATGAGGGCTCAGCTTCCCATGGCCTCCACAGCACTCTTTAATTTTTTATTATTTTATTCTTAGACAATTTCATGCATGTATGCAGTGAGTTTAGGGCATTTTTTTCTCACACACAATCCATTACCCTGGCTAGTTCTCCTCTCTAACCCAATGGACTCTTTTTCTTCCAATCAAACTCTGTCCTACTTTGGTGTTTTCTTTCATGTTTCAGTCATTGATATTAATTGTGGCTGCTTGCATGAGCAAGAGTGGGAAACAATTTACCAGAACATGGGCAACTGATGAGTGGCTACACCACTGAAGAAAATGGTACCCCTTCCTTTAATACCCATCAACCAAGCCCTAAGTGAGGGATGAGACCTTATGAGCCCCTCTGCCATGAATGATAAAATGTAAAGCCCAGTCTTGAGCACATCTTTTGCAGCTAGCCACAGCTCCTGTAAGGTCATTCATGAGTGCAATGGCCACGCCATGCCTGAAAGACACGTTCCATAGCACACCTATGGGATCTTGAACGCTTGCACTTTTTTTGCCCTCTTTTTCAAGATGCTTCCTGAGCTTTCGGGGGAGGAGGTTT